GCATCTTAGATAGCCACTTGCTAGCTTTTAAGACCCCAGATGCCACTCACCAAAGTGGGATGCAGAACATTTTCTTAAACTTTGTCATGCCAATTGAGCTAGATGTCCCCCAAAACCAGGGTCCCCACATCCCTGCCCCTGCTACTCTGTCCCTCAAAGTGTTTGGTTGTATTTAGGAAACTTCTTGGCTTTTGGTTTAGTCCGGTTGTGCTGACTTCCCCTATATTGTGTACTGTCCTCTCCTTCACCTAAGATAATTCTTATCTACTATCTAGTTAGTGAATACCCCTCTCCCTCCCTCCCCACCCTCGTGACAATCAAAGAATGTTTTCTTCTGTGTTTAAACCATTTCTTGAGTTCTTATAATAGTGGACTCATGTAATATTTGTCTAAAGGCAAAACATTTTGATAAATATATTGAAATTACAATTGAAGTAAAGAGTAGCATATGAATTTAGTATTTTTCTTTAGGAAAAGAAATCTACAAGTACCTTGCCCAAATGAAGCAGACTGAAAGCACTTTGAACTCTTGAATTTCACTTAGAATCTTGTGCTAACTTTTTAGCATACAATCATAGCTATATTCTATGACAATTTTTTAATACTTAAAAGTCCCAAGACCTGAATACTACATGATAGTTTTGGCAAAACTAACTAATAATCCTTAAATTGAATACAATACTATACTGGGAATACTTACTTAAAAAATAATAAACTTTGACACAAGTCAACTATATAATTTTAAAATAAACAGCCATGATGTTATATGCATCAAGTTTTATTTGCTTTTTAATTACATAAACGGAACAAATATATTATTCAAAATATTAAATTTTCTTGAAATTTAACAGAGGAAAAGAAACTGAAGTGAAACTGTAGGAATTGCTGAACTTCAGATAAATGTTTCTTCAAAACAAGAGATATTAGTTCCTAAAAGATTCCTCTAAAGTTAAAAAAAAAGATTAAGAAAAACATTAAGCCATTAGGTTATTACTGTTTTAAAAACCTACATGTTTCTTAATGGACATATGTTTATATTTACAGATGGTAAACTTAGTCTCCGGTCTCATAAAACTCAGAAGACACCACTGATGTCTAAACTAAGCAAAACAATAAAAGCTTCATTTATATGTTAAAAAACTTTTAAACTTAAATCTACCTTAACATTATGTTCCAAGAAAACAGGGGATGTTGTATGAATCACTTTCAAGAACAAAAATGCATCATGGGATTGTGCTGATTACTAGCAATATCAATTAAAAACCCAAACAGTGACACATGAACTCAGAGTATCAGCCGGTCCTCGCCTCCCTCCTGAATTACCTGACCAATGGAAGTTTGGCTTTGCTGTTTCAGAAAGCACTGTTTCTTACATTCCATTAATTGTTCAAAATCACGCCACATTTTTGCTTGTTTCATATTTGGACCGTGACTTTCTCGTACAGTTTTTTGTTTTTCCCGGAGTTTCTGTTATTAAAAAAAAAAAAAAAAAAACAAGAATAATTAAATCTCAGTTACAGGGATTTCCTTCTATTGCTATGGTTAGAGGAATATGGCCTGTTTCGTACATTTGATGAAAATAGTTAATTAAACTAGGTTATCCTATGATGTTATCGAAATTAAGATTATAGGGTGGCAACCAATGTCACAAAACAACGTATGTATTAATTGTTTAATGAGAAACTAATTTGCTCTGTAAACCCTCATCTAAAACACAATTAAAAAAAAACCTAAGATTATAAAAGTCAATTAAATTTATGATAGTAGAACAACCTGTGCTTGCTGAAAGTGAAGATGACTTGAAGCACTTACTGGTGAAGATCAAAGACCAGAGCCTTCAGTATGGATTACACCTCAACATAAAGAAAACAAAAATCCTCACAACTGGACCAATAAGCAACATCATGGTAAATGGGGAAAAGATTGAAGTTGTCAAGGATTTCATTTTACTTGGACCCACAATCAACGCCCACAGAAGCAGCAGTCAAGACATCTGACAAGGTACTACTACATTGGGCAAATCGGCTGCAAAGACCTCTCTGAAGTGTTAAAAGGCAAAGATGTCACTGTGAGGGTGGCGCATCTGACCCAAGCCATGGTATTTTCAACTGCCTCATATGCAT